ACGGGTCCCAGCGCGGCATGCTCACACTCGATCCTCTCACGGCAGACTCAAGGCTGGTGGGTGGTGGCCCCACGGCGGGTTCCTTCATCTAGAATCAAGCACTGGTCTGTATTCCAATGGCTCAATGGTATACCCACTGAGCCAAACCCGTCAACCTCACTGCGGGTCTTGAACTCAATCACCAAGTAAAGGCGAAAATTAAGGTAGTGTACCCGGGGTTGTTGCGTCGTCAACCTGCGTGGAGGTGGGGCGCGTGTTCTATCCCTTCCATGAAGGGTCATGCCTTGTCGTCAACTCTCTATGCCCGTCGAGTTCCCACCTCTACCACGTGGAGGTCGGGCGCGTGTTCTATCCCTTGTGCACTCTATTTACCACACGAAAATCGCACCTTAGTCGAGGCCGATCTCCACACACGTGCGCCTGTCTTGGTTAAACGTACCAAGTAACAAAAATATATCCTTTAATCCTAGTTTAATCATAAATAAATAAATATCTGGTCGATAATTACGAACGACGTTTTCGTTAAAAATGAATTGTTTTGTAAAAAGTGAACATAATGAAATTAGCGAAGTAACCGAACAATAGGTAAATTTTAGAACAAAAAAAATAGGATTTTAATATTCCGACACAATGTAAACCTGGAGCAGAAAACTGTCCAAATGATTATAATATAAACGAAAAAAAAATGACATCGTATGCGAAGGAAAGAATTGCGAAATTTGTAAAACTCTTGACACATTCAAACAAAGAGCAGCTATCCAAAGTCCAAGTCTTAGACCTTAAGTTGCTTCAAACTATAAGAACACCCTTCATATAGAGATCGTAGAAGGAAAATTTAATGCAAAAGTCTATTGGCAATTATGTTAAAAGCAAAGCAGTGCCATTTACATCAGCTCAATGGTGCTTCAGACTCTATGAACTCTTAAAATTACACATTGTGAAAATCTTCGTCAAAGTTGACTATAATTGAAATCAACTTCTAGGCACTGCTAGATAACACTTCAAAACGATATTCTAAGGCTACTTGAATCAGATCTAAGTACGTAATGGACATATTAACACGATCTGCGTGATAAATTTCACGCTCTCTTCATGTGAATTGTCCAATCTTCTACAGTGCTCGTCTCATTGTGCCCATCGAACGTGGGGTCCTTGTACTCTACGTAAGTTTTTATAACTTCATACTCTCGCAACAGAAGACTTCGTAAATATGTAATAGTTGTGTCCACGAGCCCATCCACGGGTGCTTTGAGCGACGGTTGGTCCATGATCCTCCTTCCAAATGCTTCTCGTCTTCGTCCGTCGATGTCATGTGCATTGGATATGTTTGCACTTGTAGAATGATCGTTATGAAAAAGAAAAGAAAGTTTGCAGCGCCCTTTGATATTTGATGCTGCACAGTACAAGGTCATCACCTTGAAGTCGTTGTGGTAAAACTTCAATGCTGAATAGTATAATTCTGAATATGGTGCGAGCACTTCTCGCGGATATTCTCTTGTTCCACAACACCTACGACCACAAATATACAAACATTGTCGAGGATAATGCTCCCAGCAATCCGGTGCGACATCCACAACTCTGACACTGAGTACTGCACCCTCGAAAACCACTTCAGGTGTGAAAAAGATAGACCCCATATCATGCCATACATTTCTGCCCCACACCATATTGCTTGGCGGCCATCCAGTTGTTGAATGAACCATTCTGCAACACATAAAATACAGAAGCAGTAAAAGGCAAGCCAATGATATATAGTTTGACTATATATGAATGGAAGCTCAATGACAAGTAAATGATACACCAACACGCATGAAATGAGGTTTTTTCAGCGACTTATCCTATTGGTCTTCATCATCTGGAAGTGAAAGACATGCCAAGGCTTCCTCTCTGACCAATTTGGGAATGTGCACTTCATTTTTCAAATGCAACGTCCTTGATGACCAGCTCCTCAAAACACAGTTCACGTGCTGCCACTGCTGTGCTGTTGTGCTGTCTTTCTTCCATATCTTCTTCCATGCATTTGCATATTGCAGAGAAAGACTTTTAACGACAGGTTGTGACACCCAATATTCAATAAGAACATAATTGAAAGCAGGCGACTTTCTATTGTTGTCAATATTACAAATGACTCTACCCATCCGCACGGGAACTCCCTGATCAATATCATCTTGCGAAGGACGCAAGAGAACGAATTGACCCTTTTCGACATCCAGAACCGGGTCGAGCTCTGCTTTTGGATGCTCATTGGTTGGCCCAACAAACAACGGCTCCTTATTCTCATTGCTCTGCAAGAGGAAGACAATATCAATACCCTCAGCATCGTCTCTCGTAATTCTGTCCCGCGAGGGCCAAAAACCAGCCTTGAGTGATGTTTTCGCAAAGCCAGACCCATAATTTTGCTCAATTATGTCCAGGAAAGTTTTCTTGTGTGAAATAGCACTCTCCTTTGAGAAGCTAACCTCATCTTTCATTCCCAACCACTCGTGCCGCTTGTTTTTTAACCACTCAACAAATGTCTTCACGCCTTCAATTCCTTATTTGAAATCCGAATTTTTATCCTTAGCGGGTTGACTACGTGATATTTTTGTAACAGGTCGAACAGGTGACGGGAGAACAGGTGAAGGCTCGAATGGTCATTCGGGTCCAGCATATGCTTTATTTTCATCTCGTTTAAAGCAATAGACCGGAGAAGATCAATGCGGAGAAGTGCAATACCCTTTCCACTGGAACACAGGATTGTCATCCTCCATATAAGACGTAAATAAATGTGACTTTGTATGACCGGTCAGTCTGTTGACCAGGAAGGGCTTGAGCTCCCCGCCAGTCAGCAATTTCATTTATGAATGTGCACAAAGGACGCTCGTTTTGGGAACTGGCAACGAGTTTGAACAGGTCGAGCATGATATAAGCATCGTGCATTTTCATTTTGCGAGAGAAATGACTGAAAGTGGCATCAACGTCCGTATGTGTATGTCCTACCAACATAAAATCGAATTCGACTTCTTTGAAGAATTTCACCAAAGTTGCGGCCAAAGACAAAACGTATTTGTTTTTGTTTTCTCTCCAGCAGTTGTCGGTTTGTATCCTCAATTTATGAGGTAAGTCGCTTGTCGCTTGTATGTCACGCAGAACTTTCATAACGGATGACACCACAGCATTGGAATTATGTGGATAGCAAGGGAACCATGTGTGAACATGCACCGATGGTGAACGACCGTGTGCGATAATAGCTGTTAAATTTGTTTTCATCATTGGAATATTCGCGAATGCCTTCGACTTGTTTTCTCCCTCGAAGTGTGGAATACTCGTCTTGCTTTGGTCTATATCGTCAATAATGATGCATAAACTATTGGAACCTGGTCTCTTCGACTCATCTTTCCACACCTCATAAGCAGCACGGTGTTGGAGCTGCAAGTCCAAGTGTTTGTCGCGTTTCGAAATGAAATAATCACGCACACGTACGAACTTCGCAGAATTGATACAGTGTTTGAACTCAACACACTTCTCGCATTTCACAAAGTTTTGATCAACTTCATGGAATTTCACATGCCAGAAGTGTGTTCTCCACATGTTATAAAAAACTTGGAGAGAAACAGAAGGGACATCCAAGTTGTCAAATTGTGACTTCAACAACTTATAAATGTCAATCTTGTTATAACAAGCAGGCAATCTCAAAACCACTCGTGATTCTCCATCTTTGATCCTCATGTCATTGGGCATGGAATCTCCATTGTCACGCACAAAGGAGCTTAGTTTGTTGAACATCGTCGCATATGTTGCAGATGTGCGTCTGAGTCGAGTGCTGCCATGCTCCGGCATAATGTAACCTTTTGACAAAATCACCCTCTTTTTCAAAAATGTATTCCTGCACATACCCAGTGTGAAACACCATGCACTAATGCACACCTTTCTTTTCCCCACAATAGGTTGCATAATCTCTTTCTCATCTTCCACGAAGGTGAACCTCTTTAACGTTTCAACCCACCATGCATCTCTACTTTTGTGATCCTTACAGTAATATGCACTCCGGACAATTTTGATGTCTTACATGGTCATGCGAGCGCAACAATCTTGTTTACAACAAACTTGTCCGCGCACACTCGCTAGTGTTTTTTTGGTGAGCTTTCCGTGAACTGTTTGCAGAATTTTCTTTGACCGAGGCATTCTGACACGGAAAGTATAAGGACGTTTCTTCGACGACAAACGGTTTGGGAAAATGTCATCAAAATCAGAGACGACATCAGAACTCTCCATCCCGTTGCGACAGTAGTGGTCAGTGTCATCATCATCGCAAGGTTGTGGATGATCAATTTTGTATGGAGAACTGTTGGCGTCAGATGACATCGAAGCACCGGATTCCGAACCATCTTCATCACTCTCGCCAAACAGAAGGCTTGTGCCCTCAAAATCTCGTAGCGAACTTCTCGACACCCACATGATACGATCTACATCGGATGTGTTCCTGTCACCGGAGGCGGCCCTACCCTGACCTTCCGAACGTTCTGCATCAGAGGTTTTCACTGGCCCGCCCAAGGCTTGAGATGCACTTTCGCATGTGGTTTCTTCACACGCAGCCATCCAGGACCTTTTATGATTAGGAGATTTTGAAGTTATTTGAATGTCTTGCGAAAACATTGGCAGGTCCGGGGGAGGAAGCTCATCACTAGGCAGTATATTAGATGTCGCACAATCCATGCTTTCCAAAGTTCTGCTGGCAGCTTGCCGCAGTGCATGCCCACCACAAGCCATTTAAAACGTTTCTGCGATGACAAAACAGTGGACCACTGACACAAAACATACATATCAGTAACAAATCTGCAGCTAGATGGATCACATGCGGTATATGTAGAGTGCAACACATGTGGTTCAGCGCCGCCACGGCTAACCACACACAACCGATGTAAGGCCCGTGAATGCGAAAAAAAGTACAGTGTTTAATAGAAGCGATGCACGAGAGACACGGCGACAGGCTGTCGTGTTGAACGCGATGATCTCCCACCGCGATCGTGTCCAACACGACGGCGCATCATCGCATTGCACAACACGACAGACGCACACGGCGAGATCCACCGTCACCGTATTCTCACGACAACGAGGTCATGTCCACCGTCGTCGTGATGAAGATGACGATGAGCGACCGCCTGCTTGTTGAACGCGACGGTGCTTTGGTGGCGATAATGTCAACGTTCGACCGTCGCTTGTTGAACATTACCACGGACAACATTACCACCGACACGGCGGCTACGAGAGTGAACGTCATCGCATCGAACACGACGGCGGGGTCGGGGTGTGCCACCTCTATCGTGTTCGACACGATGACAGCGACCGTCATCGTGTTGAACACGACGACGCGGTCGTGTTCAACACCTGGTGTACATGCCCGCGCTCGAGCGTCATCGTATTGAAGACGACATGTTGTCGCTTTCGACACGAGGACAGCGACCGTCACAGGTTGAGCACGACGGCGGGGTCGAGGGGTGCCACCGCAGTCGTGTTGGACACAATGACAGCGACCGTTTGCGGGTTGAACACGACGGTGGGGTCATGTTCAGAACGTGCTGTACATGCCCGCACTCAACCATCACCGCATTGAACAAATATACATCAATCTAACTCTACAAATAAATATAACTGATTTTATATGTAACTTATTCTCTATAACTCATTGATACAACTTATTGGGTTGTGGGCAGCCACCTCTGTCATGTACGACACGATGACAGCGATCGTCATCGGGTAGAACACAACGGTGAGGTCGGGGGGTGCCACCGCGGTCTTGTTCGACACGGTGACAGCGGCCGTCATCGGGTTGATCACGATGGTGGGGTCGTGTTCAGCACGTGCTGTACATGCCCTCACTCGACCGTCACCGTATTGAACACGACCATGGGGTTGCGGGGTGCCACTGCAGTCGTGCTCGACACGATGACAGCGACCGTCATCGGGTTGAACACGACGGTGAGGTCGGGGGGTGCCACCGCGGCCGTGTTCGACTCGATGACAACGACCATCATCGGATTGAACACGACGGTGGGGTCATGTTCAGCACGTGGCGTACACGCCCGCACGCAACCGTCATCGTGTCGAACACGACGGTTGTCGTGTCGAACACGACGGTCGTCGTGTCAGACTCGATGATGGACGGCTCTGTGAAACTGTGGGAGAAATTATGTTAACGTCTTGAAAAAACACGAATGA